TTAATATTTATCAGATTATATTGTCATAGAAGCATAACCGGAAGAGCTTTCCGCTTTAATATATTGATTAAATTCAGACAGTAGGCGTGAATTATATAAACGACATTCACTTTCTAACAAGACTGCAGCAGGTTATTTTCACGTCAATTTTCAGTCCCCGATAAAAATACATACATCCAGTATGTGACAGAACTTATAAATTCACATTTAATAAAAATTCAAATCAAGTTTATATGAGAATAAAATGTATCAAAATCCTGTAACAGTCTATAAAGAGGACATAAGTAACAAAATACTCCAATACATAATACATTTTATATTTCAATTAAATATAGCGTATCCGTAATTTCAAATCTTACATAATCTAATCTAAAATATTTGGAGCAAATTCTACATTGATGTGTAACTTGCTGGACTCTTAAAACTATATTAATCAAGTTCTAAAACTTTGTTGATGTATAAGTTAGGAATATTTGAATAAGAGAGAAGAAAAACACCATGTGTGTACAGAAAGACGTGTCGGACGTAATGTAGCTGGAAACTTTACTCACAGAGGCACCGAAGACGTAGCGAGTAGAAGTTTCAGAGACTGCCTGACGTTGTTTACACAATGACCGTTTCATGTCCAACTGAACCTTGCAGGCAAGGCTCGTGCAGTAGTACTGGCGGAGCCATCTTCGTATGTTGCCTAAATAGTACACCAGTATATTGATGATAGGCAACTAGACCTACACGTCTGAAGATGTCCACACGATACCGAGGCAATCGTGTTACACCAGTTAACCGTTAGCTTAGCGAAGTTTCCGGGGGCCCGAGCAAAGCCGTGCACGATTGTACCACACACTCCAAAACCTTCACCCCCCCACCCTTATACATTTTATTTTTCAAAAGTTCCTTGCAAAAGTGTATAACTAGTCCATGATTTATTTAATCCGTCTTGCAGTGCATACACTCATTTATTNGATGTCAAAGGCATGTGGACATTAGTATCAAAAAGACTGGTATTTAGGATTATGAAATAGAAATAAAAATCCGATACAAATTTAATAATCCTCAAAATTACTGGGGTTTTGGAACAAGGTGAGCTCTTTCTAAGGGGCCCAATTGAGTATGTGTCCTTGACCCTCACCTGAGGAAGTTTCCGAAACGTCGCGTTTTCTGGTGTCTAGAATAAATACCCATTTTATCAGCGGAGTTAGAATATAATATATAAATGGAATTTTTAATAAGGCAAGTAGATGTAGGAACTAGTGGAGGGCTCTTGTGAACACGGTAATGAACCTTCGGGTTCCATAAAATGCTGGGAAATTCTTGAGTAGCTGCAGAATTGGCGGCTCCTCAAGAAGGGCCCAGCTCCATGAGTGAGTGAGTGAGTGAGTAAGTAAGTAAGTAGAATATTACCCCCCCTAGTTAGTTAGTTAGTTATTGGAGAGGGTGGGTTTCCCCATGCACTTAGACCAGTATTGGTCCATTGTGCTTCCCTCTATGATATTCTACCAGTCTCTATACCCTACCGATATTGATGCGTACCATCAGTCCCGACCGAGCCAGCGAGTTCGGCCTCTACTGGCTTGGCGGTATCTATAATGCTTCCCCCCTCTATCAGAGGCATTAGAGACTACTGTTGGGCGGGAAACGTCCTTGAATTTGGCTCAGTGACCTCCTTTGGAGATATGAGGTTCTTTTACGTGCCGTAAAGCTACGACACGGGACACACGGCTTAAAGTCCCTCCCGGAGGACTTGTTCCCTGAATTTTTCCGCCCTTAAAAATTCCACGACCTCCGCCGGGTTTGAACCCGCGTACCACGAGTCATGAGGTGGGAACGTTACCTCTAGACTACGGAGGCCGCTTTACTCCCCCTAACATTTAGTTCATTATGAGCATAATATAAAAACAATATCCTTAATAAAATCATAAAGTAGGATCATCCACGAAAATGTTTTTAAAACTTCCCTAAACATTGGTACGTAAAAATCTATTGCATATTTTTTCCCTTATTTTTTTCCTTATTCCCTCGATATTGGATTTTTTCAATTGACCTAATCCTTCCAGCCGAACTATGGCCCTGGGGTCGACTCAGCCTCTAACAGAAATGAGTACCAGGAATATTCTTGGGAGTAAAGGGCGGCCGGCGCGTAGAACTGACAAACTTACCGCCATCTGTGAGCCGATTGTCTAGAGAAAATGTGGGATCCTCCACGTCTCACAACCCTATGGACCTTCACGACCTGTTACAGGGATAGTTTTACGTTTATCTTTTACCATTCCCCTGATATAATTATTTGTGGACCTCATAGGTGTTCTACAGGCTCAGTTTGGTAAATAATGTTCTAATAATTTTATTTTCAGTCGGGTCCTATCCAGGGGCACACCACGTTTTGATGACTACCACGAATTATATGATTCAACAAAAAAGACAATGTTCCCTGGCAAAGTTCAAGTAGAAACCAAGAACCAGATTTATATGAACAAAAAAATTAACTTGTGATTACATGGAGTAAATAATAGCTTCTTCTCAATTTTTTTTTTGGGGGGGGGGACATAACCGAAATACAGCCCTAGACACGCTACTGATTAACCTTCCATTTTGAAGCATTTTCTTTTCTTTAGTTTGCAAAAGCACAAAGACAGCTAAAGCGTTATTAACGCAAGTGGCAGACCTCTGTGACTGGAGAATGAACCAGGTGGAAAGTATTTACTATAATGGGCAAAACAGAACAAGATTGGAAATTCCTAATTTAATTTGGGGTACACATTTTCAAAACACGTTCCTTCTCATCTCACATATCCCACTGACCTTTGTGCTCATTCGTTGTAAAGACGGTAAATTGTTGCATTATGAGGCATTAATTTATTGCAGATTAAATTTCTTGTTGAAAATTAAACACTCTGCGCATATACGAATATGATGGTGCCCAGATTCAGAAATTTTATTCTAGTGTAAAAGGTAAAGGTAAAGTGTCTCTGTGCTTAACTAATAAGCACTTCGCCATGAAAGCGTGTGGGGGAGTGAATGTATAGATCCACATTTTCTTGACCTCGGCACTAGTTAGAGGTGAGTGGTCAGCTTCACGACCCGGCTGCTTTACCCCCTGAGAAAGAGCCCTGGTATCCATTGGATAGGAGGTTGGGTGAGCCCTAGAGCCGGTCTGGACGAAGTGGAGAAGCGAAAATTCTTGACCATACCAGGATTCGAACTCCGATCCCTCGGTCGCCCAGTCTCATGTATTTCATTAAAAAATTCAAAATAAGGCCATATAAAGTATTTCAAATAAAATTGCTTAATTAATTAAATCAATATTCTGTATCATGTATTCGTTTATTATACAGGTCACTTAAGAGTAAATCATTAAATCAGGTTTGGAGCTTTTTGCAATGTGATAGTTACATTGGACCAACGAAAGCAAAATTAAATAAGCTCAATATCTTGTAATGTATATGTTGCAGTAGAAGTAAATAATTAGTAATTATGAATAATAACCATTAATTGCATAGAATTACCAAAAAATGGTTTTAAATGTCACAAATCTTAACAATAATCACTCTTACCGGTAATTGATATAAGGTATTTTATCATGCAACAGCTGATGGATTACACGTCCTTATATTTCGCTTTTTAAATATGTTTTTTATATAAAAACGACTATTTTTATGGCAGAAAAAAGTATCTTACATAAATAAAACAAAATATGATTAGCTTATTTGTCTTTCGCGTTATAGCGTATGATATTGTCCCACGACCTGAGGACTTACAAGGACAATGTTTTCAAACTTTTCGTTAAAGTTTAAAACTTATATGGGGTTACCAACCTATGCTTTCAAAGAATAGTGCTTACTGGCAACACAAACAGAAATATAGATTATTACTATTATTATTATTATTATTATTACTAACACACATTGGTAATTGTGAATAATAACCGGTAATTATTCATAATTTCCGTAAAAGTAATTATTATCACGAGATTTACGAGATCGTACCACCTTTACCATTGTTTTTGGTAACTCAGTATAATTACTGGTCATTATTCATATTTTCCAGTTTATTCAAATTTACGGTGACATACACACTAATTTAATTTAAATTCATTGAATGTCATCAGAAATGAAATCTGTGGACAGACAAAGGGACACGACCTCCTCTATTTCTTTTTATTTTGTGCAAATAATATATCAGGAACCAGATAAAAATCTATGCCACCAAACCTGCCGCTTGCTTTGGCGCCTTTTAAGGAACGTCTAAGTAAAGCAAGGCATTAGTGCCACTCTTAACATAAGCCGATTGCTGTGAATTAGCTCATGTGAACAGGAACAAAGTGCTTCAGGATTACTGTCAATGTATTTTATTGCAGGTGCAAGTGTTCTGAGCCTACCTTCCATCTGCTGTAATAATACACGAAAAAGAAAGTAGTTACTATAGGATTCTGACGATGGTGTATAACACACAGAGATATTGAGTTTTCGGTCTTTATATCCATCGTCCTGGTTCTTTTAAGATAACTAAGAAAAACACGATGTTTCGGAAACTGGATCTTTTTCCGTCCTCAGGTGACGGAAAAATACCTATTCTGTTGGATCCATTAGAAAGAACTAGCCTCAATCACTGGACCAGTGGTTCCCGAAACGTCGTGTGCTTCTTAGTTATCTTAAAAGAACCAGGACGATGGATAAAGTCCGAAAACCCAGTATCTCTGTGTGTTATACACCGTCCAGTGATTGAGGCTAGTTCTTTCTAATGGATCCAACAGAATAGGTATTTTTCCGTCACCTGAGGACGGAAAAAGATCCAGTTTCCGAAACATCGTGTTTTTCTTAGTTATCTTAAAAAACCATGACGATGGATAAAGTCTGAAAACCCAATATCTCTGTGGGAAAAAGAAAGTCGCATGACAACTAATGAAAAAAGGCTTGAATGCAAGTCAGGCACTTGATGTCAAAAGCAACCAAATTAATCTGATGAAAGTGACATAATGATAGAGCCTTGGTGCTTTATTGTAGTGACGTAAGACAATGGCTAGTGGAGAGGACAACAAAGACACAACCAGGGACACTGAACCCCACCCCTCTCGGGAGATGAACTGGCCGATTGTGCTGTATTACATCCACCTCCACATGGGAGCTGTGGTTGGAATCAACTACATCTTCACAGAAGCACGAGTTATCACAACCCTTTTTGGTAAGATTATAACATTTTTCTTTAATTAACACAAATTCGCGCTAGATATTTTAGTGTATGCACAAAACAATTTGTAGAATCTCGGCGAGCCACACAGCCTAGCAGTTCTGTCTATGAAAAATTGTTCTCTCCTCTATCTGGCAACAAATTTATGGGTTTTAATCTGTCAGGAGTATCCATATATGAAACTGGTTTAATAGGAAGCTGTCTGAAGTATGTTTTCTGTAATTCATTAGGTCCCTTCATAGAAAGCCATCCTAAGCATTCAGACTAATGCAATCCAAAGATCCATTAAAGCAATATAAATATGCAGTAAGTGCCCGCATTGCTCACGCTGATCCCACGTATGCAACATTCCTCTGACTGACAATGCTAAATTCCACCTACCCTCTAGCAGAAAGAACAAATCTAGGTGAAATATGATGGAAAATATCGAAACCTTATTTCTGAATAATTCAAAATAAATAAATTATGTTCAAATCAAAATACAAATAAGAAAGGATCCATAAAAATTCTGTGTCATTTTTACACATAGCTGTTGGCACAGAAAAAGTTAAGTGTCTTGCGCCACCGAAGTTTTTCCCATCAACCACTCTAGAAAACCAACAGTTGAACCTGGGGTGCTGTGCATAGACTTAAGTTATCAGCCACTTGAATATTTATGATATCCGGAAAGTAAAGATACAAGTCCAGTATTATTTTTTTATTGCTAGTGGGGTGGGACTAAGTCCCTTGTACTGCGGCCACTTCTGGCCTATTATACCAGCCCAAGATGACAGGTGAGGGTGATTTGGGAGCAATTGGTGGAATGAAGATTGGCAGGGGAAACCGAAGTACTCGGAGAAAACATGCCTCAGCGCCAATTTCTCCTCCACAAATCCCACTTGACCAGACCCGGGATCGAAACCGAGCCGCCGCGATGGGAAGCCGGCGACTAACCGCTTCAGGTATGGCGCGACCCTTACAAGTCCAGTAAAAATGCGAAGGAAATTATTTTTCCGGAAATGGCAGTGCTGCCGTGTGAGATGGGAACCCTTTGAGAGGTCGGAGTTCCCTGGCCACAGTCACGGCAACATTGTGCTCGCAGTGTGTGTTTAAAATGGCCGTGTCGGTTCAAAAACCCGCCAAATGAGTGGCTCTTGCAGTAATTTGATTTCTTCAAGCGAAAGGAGGAAGTGCTGCTGAAATTCATCGCCAACTTGTTTCTGTTTACGGCGAAGATGTTATGAACAGGCAAAATGTGGCATGTGGTAAAATGGTGTCGTGAATTTGAAGCGGAAAGAAGTGACGTTCATGATGAAATAAGGAGTGGAAGGCCATCCGTTGTCACTGATGAAATCACCCCCCCCCAAAAAAGAAACTATTGAAAATGTTCGTGCTAACAGACTTTTAACCATCGATGAACTTCACCAACAATGTCCAGAAGTGTCAAGAACTGTTCTCCATGGCTAAGAGAGCAGGCGGGAGATTTCTGCGACGCTGGAATGAAAAAAAAAAAACCTCGATTTCAGGGTCACTAAGTACATTGCAATCCATGGTAACTATGTTAAAAAGTAAATAAAGGTGTGTTGTAAAAGTGACACAAGTGAATAAAAAAAAGTGCTTTATAAACATTTTCTGGACTTTGTATCTTTAGTTTCCGGATGTCTTTTCTATAAGAATCTTGGTTGTCATTGTGCATCCCCTGTAATGAGCACTGAGGTTTGTCCTTTGTCAAAGGGCTATAAATATTTAAAGATTACTGTATTTTCAATGTGACAGATATACAATACACTTTACAATATATGGACTGTAGGACGATTGTCAGGGGAGATAGGATGGTGAGTTGGTACTTCAGTATTTTCCAATAAAACTGGTTATTAGGTAATTCTGTATTTCAGCATCCTGTTACACGTCTTTAATTAACGTCTATATATTTAGTCCATCAATAATGCAACAATCATTAAAATATTCACCATTCAACACTGGTGAAGCGACCGTTGCTAGGCAGTCGGTTGGTAAACATGTCCAACAATATAGGCTGTTTTCTGTGTGGTCCGCGAGAGGCCTATATAAAGGGTTCAATGCATTCAACTGTCGATTCCATTCACTCGATACAACTGAACTCGGCACTGCTAGACTTNGAATGCATTCGCCGAGACAGTGTCAGTTGAAGTCTAGCAGTGCCGAGTTCAGTTGTATCGAGTGGATGGAATCCACAGTTGAAATATAGCAGCCGCCGAAGACAGTTGAAGCCTGGAAGTGACTGCAGCAGGAGAAGTAACTGGGATACTGAAGTGTGGATAAAAGTGTGCAATAAATTCGCTAGATCCAAGACCGGCGTGAAGTCATTTGTCAAGTGACATAGCCAACATGCGACAACTGGTGTAACGGAAGTGGATCGAACTTAAAACACGAAAACACCACACGAAAAGAATGGAGTTACACAAACTGATGAAACTCCTACTGAAAAAAGATGGACGCCAACCAGGCAAAGACAGTTGCCGTTTTGCTAGCCATGCGAGAAGATAGAAAAGCTGGCCAGGCAAAGCGGACGCAGACAGAAAAGCCATCAAAGAAGAAATGAGAAGCGACCAAGAAGGCAAGAAGGCTGCCAGAGAAGAGATTGCCGCAAGAACGAAAGCCATGAGAGACAAGAGAATGGAAGCGGACAGGGGAACCGCGCGCGAAGAAGTCGAACCCTAAAGAGATATAAAGACGATGGGCTGCCAAGAGATGGACGCACGTCCGGAAGAGAAGAAGCCGACCTCAGTGGACACGGAACCTGAGGCGGTCCAAAAAGAAGAGGTACCCGTACAAGACGCCACAGTGACGCCGGTCGGAGAACCGAAGAAGAGGCGTAGGGACCGAAACCGACGAAAGATAAAGCAACGGACCCAGAGTCAGAATGGGTGCCGAAAGACTTACTGCCGCCGGCATGATGACACACCGTGAAAAAGTTGCACGACGCAAAAAAATCGTCAGAAGAAACTGGTTCAGGAACAACGTAGTGAGAGGATCCTTGAGAGGACAGATGTTTGGGAGGAGACGTCAGCCGCAACTGCAGCGCAGCAAGGGCATATGAAACCGAGACACAGAGGAACCGCTACATCTGGGGAAGAAGAGGACAACCACGGACGGCATCCGGGAGTGGAGGCCAGGAGAGCGAACACTTCTGGGAGGCGGAAGAACGCTCAAGAGACAAATACCCGAGTTGTCGCGTGTTGGCTGTGTGACGCGACAAATAATTTTACGTCGGCCTTGGATCTAGCGAATTTATTGCACACTTTTATCCACAGTTACATAACTCACAACTTCAGTATTCTAATTACTTCTCCTGCTGTAGTCACTACCAGGCTTCAACTGTCTTCGGCGCCGGCTGCTACATTTCAATTGTCACTGAAAACTGTCTCGATTCCGTTCACTCGATACAACTGAACTCGACACTGCTAGAGTTCAACTGACTCTGTCTCGGCGACTGCGTTCCAGCCGTTTATATAGGCTTCTCGCGGACCACACAGAAAGCAGCCTATATTGTAGGACATGTTTACCAACCGATTACCTAGCAACGGTCGCTACATGAACTCCCCTGTTGCTTGACGTCACAGCCTAGCGGGGAGGGGTGTTTACCGAACGTGCCAGTGACGGGCTGGGTGGGATTATGTGACGTCACTCGCACTTCCTGTTGCGCCACCCAAGCTTTTACAGAGTTGTCGCCTGGCAACGCGCCGATACAATCCGCAACTCTCCTGTTGCGCGCGTACACCGAGGTTTCTGCGGCTCAGTAGTTCCTGCATAGAGCCAATACGCCACAGTATTTTAAGAAGCACTATGTAAACATGGGCCACAACACCCAGTATTGCCTCAGTTTTTATACTTCAGCTTTCCACTATGGAGCCCAGTGCTTGGATCCTACATATGAGATATGTGGTGGACAAAGTGTCACTGGCTGAGGTTTTTCTTAGAGTGCTTCTATTTTCTTCTTCCCAACATTATTCTACCAATTACCCACATTAATCTTTTCCTAAGATGTGCAGTTAGCCCAGCTAGCTAGCAAGTATCTCATTGTAATCTTTCACCAAACATCGCATTGAGCTCAAAATAAAACAAATAACTACCAGCTTTCCATTAAAAAATGATGAAAAGTGTTAAAATTCCTCTAACATAAAAATTATAAAGATTCCACAGACACTACAGATTTTATCTCAAGCTGCCAGTATTTGGAATGACTTTTATATGCAGATCTTTGGATATATGTGTATGCACAAAATCCATCCTGCACTCATAATGTTTGTTCACATTCTGCAGCAATACTCATCGGATCGCTGTCAGTATTAGGAGCAACAGCAGGGGCACATAGATTATGGGCTCATCGCTCTTATACAGCCAATACATCTTTAAAGGTGTTGCTAATGATTTGTCAGACCATGCTGGGTCAGGTTAGTAAGCCCACAGATATCTTTACTTGGCAGTAAGGCACGCTGTTTGATTCATAACTTATTCACAAGCATAAAAATTATGCAAAGATATTTGAATTCTGTTTCATTGTCAGAATAAATATCAGACACCGCCTCTCATTAAGTAGCTGTGTTCAGTACTCTTAGTTCTTGGAATTATTATGAATGCATGAGATTATGTAACATTTGTTGGTACCTGTCACATACAAGCAGTCTGTTCACATGGACATTGCCGGGATTTTCTACAATGGGGACAGCCAGAAAATGTGGTAATAAACTTATATTTAAGTTGTGTAAAAATATTTTTATGCAACACTCTAGGGTATTGAAGACCAGAGAATAAAATTTCAAAACAATTTTAAGTTTTGGTATTAATATTTATTTCCTTATGTATATGTTGCTGTCTTTATCACCAGAATAACGGGCAAAGATAGCTAACAGATCCTTTGAAAATGTGGCACAGTTCAAATATTTGGGAACGACAGTAACAAATCAAAATTTGATTCCGGCGGAAATTAAGAGCAGATTGAATTCGGATAACGCTTGCTACCATTCAGTTCAGAAAATGTTGTCTTAATGTCTGCCATTTAAAAACGTAAACATTAGACTATACAAAACTATAATTTTGCCTGTGAATCTGTATGGGTGTGAAACTTGGTCTCTGACATTAAGGGAGGAACATAGACTGAGGGTGTTTGAGAACAAAGTGATAGGGAGAATATTAGGATTGAAGAGAGATGAAGTGACAGGAGGTTGGAGAAAACTGCATAATGAGGAGCTTCATAACTTGTACTCTTCTCCAAGTATAATTTGAATGATCAAGTGAAGGATCAAGAAGGTTTGAGCTCCATGAAGTTAGTATTTATTTCCTTCTTATTTAAATTTAAATATTTTCCCTAAAAAAATACAGGGGGGAGGTTCTGATGCTTGACTTTCTTCTCTTCTCTCTCTCCCAGAATTTATGTTTGTTTATAATCATAAATATAATTAAAATAATTCAATAAGAATAACAATAAATAAAGTGAAGCAGAGGGAGTTAAATTAAAAGTGAACCAACAAGTATACACCTATGGTCACCACACAGATATGAATAATATATTCAGTTATTAAACCTAATATGTTTAGTGTTTTGTTATGTTGAAATAGTTTAGACTTTATTACGTATCTTTTAGTAATTCACAGTACAAATTCAGTGCATATATAATGTATTCTTAAATACCTTCATTTTAATTAGCACTTGATGTGTTACAGTGCACCATATATGAATGGGTTCTGGACCACCGTTTCCATCACAGATACTTTGGCACAGATCTTGATCCATATAACAATAAACATGGATTCATAAATGCACACATAATGTCCAACTTAAAGAAATGGAATCCTGATTTTCAGCGCCTTGCTGCTACTATTGATATGTCTGACATTGAAGCTGATCCCGTTGTCATGTTCCAAAAAAGGTAATCTGAACAGTGGCGTTTATCAGCAATGAATCCTTCTATAGAATTCAAATCATGTAGCAATGTAACAACAAAATCTGGAAGATAGTAACAGAACAGTAATCACTCTCATTTCTCATGGTTGTGCATGCATGAAGCTAAGAAATGTTGTGGTGAAGTTACACAGGGTCCAGGCCGCTCCATAACTCAAGCGGTTAGTCGCTGGCTTCCAACCACAGCAGCCTGCGTTCGATCCCGGGTCTGAACAAGTGGAATTTGTGGTGGACGAAGTGGCTCTGGGGCAGGTTTTCTCCGAGTACTTCGGTTTCCCCTGTCAATCTTCATTCCACCAATTGCTCCACAATCACCCTCACCTATCATCTGGGGCTGGTACAATAGGCCAGAAGTGGTGTCAGTACAAGGGACTTAGTCCCACCTCACTAGAAATAACAAAAAAAAAAAATACAGTGTACACAGTTGATTCCAGGCAAAACGTTATTTCTTTTATTGAATGGAAATAATATATATTTTTTTAAATTCCTGCAATTTCAGTGGTCTAGTGGCACAGTACTAGCCAGACCAGAGCATTTGCTGTCAGTTTATGAATGAACAGTAACATATCCACAAAGCTTTACTTTGGGGAAGGAGTTAAATTCTTGCATCCTAATTTAAATGGCAAATATGTTTATATAGCTAGAAGACTAAGACTGCATGGAACATCCATTTGCCTCTGTACTCTACTCATGAATTAGGCTCAGGATGAAGAGACAAGGTGTTAGTATGAAGTAGAACATGCTAATTTTCTTATTATTTTATTTGTTATTGGATACCAATCATTATGGAAACAGGCTGAGCTTTTTCATTACGATGAATTATGTCTTAGCTCCACAATTAATCTACGATATAATTAAATCTGAATTGCATTAAATTCTTAATCGATGAGAAGTAGAACAGCATATTTCTTAATGGGTTTGGTGTCCATTAAGTAGCCATGCAAGGGACTCGATTTGGCATAAGCTCTTTTTTCATGGTAAATAAAATAAAAATAAAAATGAAGTACAACTTGCTGTTGATATAGGATATCACACATTGTAGATATACTATACTCCTTATCATGAAAACAGATTTGTAAGAATTATATAAAATCATTTACATCATGCTTACTTTCTTATTCCTTGGCTCTATGATCTTCAATAATGAAACCCTGTCTCCTTGATACCCATTCTTTCCTATTATTTGTCTTTTTACTGCGTCTCTTCAGGTTCATCTATTATGAATTACTCTAAACCTCCCAACCTCCTCGATCTGGACCTTCCCACTTTTCTTCCACCTTTGAGTTACTTTGGAGGATGTTCTTGTCTATGCTTTTTATCCAGATTGATTGCGTGCCTCAGCCACTCTAATCTTCTCCTTTTCATGACTGCTACAACATCAAGGGTTCTGTATAATTCTCTCAGTTCTTGGTTAGTTGTAATTCTCCAAACACCTTACTCAGTTATTGGGTTATATATCCGCCTCAAAATTTTCAACCCCCATGTATTTAACATAAAGTTATCCTTTTCAGATATGCATCGTATTTCTCATCCACCCATAACAGCTGGTTTTAGCATTGCTTGGTAGATTTTAATTTTGGTATGTTTATAATTATAGGCAAATTTTCCACAATTCTAGTCTTAAAACTATGCTGTAAACCATAATATCAATTGCCTGCAGCAACTGTTCAAAAAATTTCCATCAACTTCAAATTCTGTTTCAGGTTGGCTTATTCTCTCGTGCTCTTCATGTCCTTATTTTTGTTCTTGTTTATGTCTAGTCCAACCTTTAATGCTTCATTCTTCAACTGTGCCTATTCTTTTTCCACTGGTCTTACTGACCATCCATGTATCAAATGATCTAAATATGCTAAAAAGTATATTGTTCTGTCAAAAATGATCCCATTTCAGTTAATTTAAATATTTCTTACTGCTCTCTTGAACAGAATACTAAACAGAATTTTGGACAAGGCATCATTTTCTTTAAATCCTATTTTTACTTAAAATTGTTTGCAGTTTCCCGAGATTTTGGTTTTCAGTTGGTGTCTGTAAGGTTCATTTTCACCAGTATAACCAGTTCTTCAAGGACACCAACTTACTTAAAGTTTAAAAATAAATATTGTATAACAACTTTATCATAAGTTTCTTTAAATCTGAAACCAACAAATGCAAATCCAACCGAATTCATAGGCAATTTCTATTATTAATTTCAACGCCAAACGTGATGATCGTTACATGTTTAGCCTCTGCTAAAACCACACTAGTAGTGCCCTAAAATGTCATCCACTTATAAGGCTGTTATAAAGTTGTCCCTGTGTTTGACTAATTAAGTGTATGGGGGAGTGGATGTATAGATCCACATTTTCTTGACCTTGGCACCAGCTTGAGGTGAGTAGTCAGCTTCACACCCCTGCCGCTCTACCCCTGGGGAAAGAGTCCCGGAACTCATTGGCGAGGAGGCAAGGTGGGCCCCAGATCCTCTCGGGACGATGTGGAGAAGAGAAAATTCTTGACCCTACCGGGACTCGAACTCTGACCCCTCGGTCGTCCATCCCCTAGGCAGTCGCTATACCGACTGCGCTACCCCGGTTCACAGTCAGTCATTTATATAAAACAAGAAAAAAATATATAGCTTANCTTCACCTTTTATTGATCCTTTAATATATGGTTAACTCTTTGACACAACATTTCCTCATAAGTCTCTTGTTGCTGTTGTTATTATTAGCCGTTTTGTTCTAGTGGTGTAGGGACGTGCACACTTGTTGCATGTGTTGTAAAGCCTTTTTGACAAACAGAAATGTATTGTGTTGTGGGTCTTGAACTTTCGGATATCATATCAGCTCTCTGCAGATCGGCCGTAGAGAATATGCATATTATATTGAATCTGGGGAATTTACATTCAGTTGGGTGACCGTATTTATTGTCGCAGCGATGCGAAATTGTGCCGATGAAGAGCCTTCGTCCTCAACTCCTGACCTTCACCCTCCAAAATTGGTTTCTCCAGGAAGATCGCTTGTTTTGCATCCATTTATTGATGTCGATAAACATGAGGCGTTGTGTGTGCAGCTCAAGATTTTTCGTCTTAATGGTGTGTACGCACTTGATTTTATCAAATCTGTTGTGGGCACTGTAGACGAGTTGGGCGAGTATGTCGTTGAGCTTAAAAGCGACAATACAGCCAGGTCTTAAGACCAAAATAAAAAGACTTGCAAGGTTGAGTGCATATCCAGCTCAAGCAGCCCAAATTCCAACCCCAGGGTTCATCGTCCTTCCTACCAATTCTTCAATGCAACAAGGAAGTCACGGCTTCGTGTAATGTGGCATATCAGCAGAAATCTACCCCAGGTTATGGCGATGTTGTTAATTACGCAAGGCAGCCATGTACTACCAAGCCAGCTGATGAAAGTGTTCATGGTTCTGCTGACGATGGATTTATTTCCGTGACAGGCACGCGCAAAAACTACCGCGCTTTAAATAAGGCTACTAATTCAATTTCCGCGCTCTCTAAGAAATCGAGAATTATTATTGGGGTCAGAAATATTTCTACGATCCAAGTTATCACTAACGACGCTAAGAGTGAATCCTTATTTATTTCACGTTTCAGCCTCGACATAGCATCTGGCGATAATAAAAATTTCGTGAGGACCAGTTCACACTTTCTTCCTTGATCTGTTCTAGACTGAAATTTAATACCTGTGTCGCTTCTTACATCTAAGTTATCGAAGATTACTTTCTGTTTGTAAATAAAATAGGGGTATGGCCAAATGGTTGCTGCATCGATCCTATGACTGTTTAAAACCTATTCACATTTATTCATCAGAGGCCTCCAATAATTTAGTAACCAATAAATCAGCTGGAGGCAGAGCTCTTTCCATCGGTTGTAGTAGAGTGTGACTTGGAACTAAATGCAATTTTTTTCAAGAAATATATTTAATTTTACCTTCTCCACGTTGCTCAAACTGGCTCTGGGGCACACCCAGCCCCATATCCAATAGGTATTGTATGCTTTCCCCAGGGGTAAAGCGTCCTGGGCAAGAAGCTGATTACTCACCACAAACTAGTGCCGAGGTCAAGAAAACTTTGATCTACACATCCACTCCCCGATACATCTTCATAGCATACTGCTTAATTCGTTAAACACAGAGACAAGTTCACCTTTTTTTACCTTAATCATAAAATGTACTGCCTTATTGAAACCTGGCTAAATGATATAATATTTTCAAATATTTTCCTGACCTCTTTTCTGAATTTCGTGCTGGCAGGGGCTACACAAATTTAAGAGCAATTAGTAAAACTTGGGTATTAATTGCAGTTTACAAATCATTACACATTGTCAAGTGCAGAAATGACCTGGAAACTATTGAAGGATGTGTGTGGCTTGAAGTTTCTGGCAGTGACAAATTCAATTTCATGATAGGAGTTAATTATTTTCTTCTGGACTGTGATGTCAAAATATCCAAAAATTATTTAACTTTTTAGAAGAAAATTTAAATGCACATCAGTGTTCAGTAATTATGCTAGGTGTTTCAGTCAGCCTACTTACAATTTAATTAATGGCATGCCCCTTTCAGACACTTATTATTGCAATAAAATTAAAGGAAATTCAATTCATGCTGCCTCTGGCTTGCTTGTTGTTACTCAACACAACAATTCTGCCTTAAATAATGCATTACTTGATCTTGTATTTACTAATATCAGTAAGTAGAGTGTATTTATTTCTAATTCTCTTGTGATCAGTCTTGGTAACTACTGTCCAGCACTTGGCAACAACTTTAAATTAGCTTTAGACTGTCCTCATATATCCTTGATCCCTCATTGTAATTGTGCATATGGATATTGCCTTTTGCTTTACGACGCTTAGCATATTTCTGATTAATCATTTGTTCTTAAAGAAAATTCTGTTAATTCTGCAGTTTGTAATCTCACTGTAATCCAAAATGCTTTTTTTGTGTATAGGTTTTCTAGCTGTTTAAACTATTTACCGATCAGTATCTTAGAAAATAAAAGAAATCAAAATTGGATTGTCATCAGATTGTTCTTTCTTATTATTGAAAAGTGGTTAAAACTACCATTAAGACAGACAGACTCTGTTGATTAAAATCAATGGATTGATAACTGGACAACTCAAGCAAAGGACATATGGAAATATGTTTCTAAGTTTGGAAAGAATTATTATGCTGTCATCCAGCTCATATTTAAAGAAAATTTAATGACAGAGCCAGTATCTGACGAACAGATCTGATCTGTAGTTGATCTGGTATGTTGAAACTCACACTGATGATCCCCAATAATTTCAGCTATGTAGGACTTAACATTGAGAGAAGTATATTGGATAACATTTTGTATGAAGTTGGTACCTGTGATATCACCCGATAATTACTACAGTTAGTTTTATCACCCTTCTTGTGAACTGGTACATTAATAGACTCCTTCTACTGATCAGGCAATTTTGCTTTATGCCAAATAGAAGTAATTAGCTTATGGATTTTAGAACGTAATATTTTGCCTCCTGCTTGAATAAGTTCTGTCATAATTTGATCACTACCTGGTGATTTATACCTATTCAATTTTGCAATAGCACTTTCAACCTCAAAAGGGCTAGTAGGATCAGGCATTAACAGCTCAGCTGTTTGTATTTCTATCTGCCTGACCCGACTGACCCTTTGTACATTCAATAACTGAGAGAAGTATTTCTTCCACCTACTCAACATGTTGTGGGAATCTGCAAACAGATCACCATTCTCATCCTTCACTGGGTTACTTCTAGGATGGTAAGTAAAGTAAAGTAAAGTAAAGCTATCCCTGTACTAGGCCGTGACGGCCCATAGGGTTGTGAGACGTTCAGGTTCCCACATTATCTAGGCCTTATGTGCTGGCCGGGCTTTACTTCCCAGCAAAATTATTTAATTAATTCCTCATTAAACTCATTTCTGTTAGAGGCTGAGTGAACCCCAGAGCCATAGTGCAGCTGGAAGGGTTAGGTCAATTGAAAAAATCCGATGACCTCATCGGGTCATCACCCGCGACCTTCCGTCTTGTAGCATAGCCCATCAACCAACTATGCTACCGCGTGCCCCACTTCTAGGATGGTAACCTTTTAATTCATATATTCCTCTATACAGCTCTCTAACGTTGTTGTTCTTACTATTTGATGTAAGCTCATCAAATTTATCTTTCAGATATTCCCTATTCTTATTCCTGAAATGCCTGCTAGTTTCACGTCTTATATTGTTTGAATTATCCTCATTTATTTTGCTTGGATCTTGTAACCACTGGAATATGGCTTGTTTTCTTTGGTCTAATAATTTTGAGCATCCTTCATCGAACAATGGCATATTCTTTTTCAATTCACAATAACCTAGACTCTCTTTGGCAGAAATTTTTATATTCTGTCTAATAGTCTCCCAAGTTCTATTAATATCCACCTCAATGTCTAAGTGTTCCAAAGCAGTGAACTTATTTTAGATTTCAAAATGATGCTGCTCTTTACCTTCTACCTCATTTAATTTCTTGAGATTGAACCTCTCCATATGAACTCTGTGCATTGTCTTTTACTTACTGCCAGTTTTTGCACTAACCTTCCCCACTACCAGATAGTCCTATCACAATCTGCTGTCCGGAACAATTGGACGTGAACTATACTTGATTGTCATCTCTTATCTATAAAAATATGATAAATTTTGTTGTGTGTCTTTCCATCAGGAGATGTCCAAGTAAATTTATGAATGTTACGATGTGGGGACATTGTACTTTTGACAGTAAGCTTTTGATATGGCAAAGTTTACTACTGTTAACTCCATTATCATTACTAATTTCATGCAAACTCTCATTCACAACTGTTGGTTTGAAAATGTCTTCCCTCCCTACTTTGGCACTGAAATCTCCTAACAAAATTTTCATAGGGTACTTTGGGAATTTATCGAACACAAGTTCTAGTTCTTTGTAGAACCTGTCCTTTATATCATCAATTTTGTCCTATGTTGGGGCATGAACATTCGTAACGATATCACACCAGCAACCTCTTAGTATTATGCATGACATTCTATTATTATTGAACTGTACCCTCTTCACTGCTGATATGATTATCTTATGTATGAAGAAAACGTGTAACTAATTCATGATTCTCATTCCCTCTTCCACAGAAAAATGTATATTTGCGTCTCCTCCATCCCATCTGACCTCCTGTACCCTCTCTAAATCTCCCTTACAACAGGTTGCAGATGAAGGAGACGGCCTCCAGATATGGAGGGTACCTGTGAATATATTGTATAATTTGTCATGGGCAGCCAACAAGGGGTGGTCCTCTAGTTAGGTGGTTGGGCGTGGGGCTAAACTGCTCACTGCTCACCATCACAAATGAGCTTGTTACAAAAGATCACCATATTCTAATAGTTGGCCAAATTATGTTATTTTGGGCAACCCGTGCATTTAGATCTCCCATTATAAATCTTATATTATGTGCAGGTTCTGTAATGGATTGGACCAAGTTCATTGTCAAAGGAATCTTTACTTACATCATTTACTTTAGCTCATGCATAAGATCATATTATCGTAACATTACTAAACTTCCCTGTCACTCTTAAAAGTACACACTCTTCTTTCCCTGGCCAAAATTAGTCTCCTCATACTTATATTTCTTATTAATCAAGTATTTATTGCCAAACATATTATACACACTTGCACTTTAAAGTATAGTAAAATCCCCTGTATTCATCATTCCATCTCCATTTCATCCAGTTTCTAAAACTGCTGCACTACCATACTCTATTTTTATAATACCAGTTTTAGTTGATGTAATGCTCCTCTCTTGACTAAGCTTAATACATACCAAATAGCAAGGTATGGTTCGTTGTCCTTAAACTTTTCCTTAGTAACTTCCCTGAATTATCCAGCCATAATTAAGTCTCTTAATACACAGTTTTTCCTAAGGCGAGGATGTTAGCACATGCCTAATCCCCAACTTGAAGGACCTGGGACTACCTTTCATCTTGCTTCTACCTTTCAACCTTTATAGCTTTGGATGACCCTACGATGACCTTTCTGTTTGAATTTCATGGGTAATTTGTCAACTGTTACATATTAAAATGTTTGTGGAAGAATATCAAATTATATATGTGCTGTTGCTGCATTAGTCTTACAACAAATAAGAAAAAATATGCAAAATGAAAATAAGTCAGATTCTTACAGTTATGATGAGCATGGCAGAAATATCCAACATATTTTTGATAAACAGCCAAAGCATTAAGTTACATATAACAACAAAATATGTGTGAGCATTAATACACTTGACTTTATTTTTGGTAAGCTTTAGGAAAAACTGAATGGTGTACTGAGATATTCATCTACTCTGTACATAACTTTCTGAGCAGAAGAGTCATGTGGGTTTTGTTTCACTTTGATCTTTCAATTTGAAATCTAAAATATTTCATGCCAAATATCAGTACTCATTTTAGTGAAATGTTTTTATAAGCTGATACAGGAGGAGCGTTGATATTTCTTATTTCAAGATAATGATCATGGTGAAGGTCTGTGAAATTTGGGTTTGTTATTCCAATTTTGATTTGATTCTGTTTGGGAAAATTAGGTATAAAGGGAAATATTATCTCATACACTACTGTTGATTTTGGCATAGGTACTACTGGATCTTGATGCCAATTCTAAGTATCCTACTGCCTTGGAATGCTCCTGTGGAGTACTGGAATGAAAGTATCCTGACTTCTCTGCTTGTGGTAGTCTTCCTACGATGCACCATAGCTATGCACTATGCTATGCTTATCAACACTGCAGTGCATGTCTGGGGTATTCCAGCTGGAGATAGGTAGGTTTTCTTATTCTTGGCTTTAATTAGTATTTGTTAGAGTCAGTAGAGCCAATGAGCACTTCTGAAGTAAAAATTGACTTCAGATTCAAAGAGATATGACTAACTGACCTGGACTACATTCCACACACTTCTGAGTGCTTTGTGAGACTTGAAGTTTGAAAGGTGGTGACTATGAAGATTGCTGTCTTCTGAGATGTGCCACTGCCTCCGTGTTAAGGGTGGATAAAGGCTGTGGAGTTCTTCTGGAACACTAGGCTTTTCAGTCACACTGCATGGCATCACATTCCAGAAGAGGGGAGTGCTGTTCTTTTCAATTAATGAAGAGACTGAAGGGGCATACTTCAGTTAGGAGAACACATATGTAGTCTACTTCTTTTGGGGTTTATTTTATGATACTGCCAGCATCTCAGACTACATAGTGTTGAATGTTAAGATGACTGGTGAATAATAAACTGGATAGGATTTAGAATGAAATTGTTGTGCCCTCATCCTAAAAGGAACTGAGGAAAAAGAGGAGAAACCCAACTTAAAATAGCCATGATCCTGGTTGAGATTAAAACCGAACACCTCCATAATATAAGTTTAGAGAGTTACCACTATAACAACCTGACTGGCCTTGATGTTCATTTATTGCAGATATAGACATGTTAACTACAAAACAATTTGTAGAATAATTATACTATGCTACATATCCATACATTACATTTTTGACAGAATTAATGAACAATAAACATATTACAATGTTCAGAGTCATACATTTTATTTTGTTATTTCATTAAACATACAACATATTTAGAAACGTTTCAAATAAAAGATATAGGCTTAAGTAACACATTATGTTTATTTATTTATTTATTTCATCTCTATAGATCATTGTTACATGATAAGGACAAGTCAGTTACTGTACATTTGCGGATTACAATAAGAGAGTAAAGTTACAATACTTACAATTGTTTACAATAGATTACAGTAGATTACAATAGTTAGAGTTCATATAGTGTGAGGTGAATCCATATTAGGTCCCCTCAGCATGTCGACCTCCATATGTCCTATTGTACCTGTACCATGATTATGCTTATGGAGAATTTGATGGAATGAGGATTGGCAGGGGAAACCGAAGTACTCAGAGAAAACCTGCCCCAGCGCCACTTTGTCCATCACAAATCCCACTTGACTAGACCGCAGTGGTGGGAAGCCAGCAACTAACCGCTTAAGCTATGGCGCGGCCTTTGAGATAATACTGGTGAATTTGGTGATAGAACTGGTATAACGTTTCACTGTAGACTCTACACTGCAACATCTCATTACTCGTACATCTGTTCTCCCTTCCTGGTGCAGCTTCTTGGCATCTGCAATCTCTCCAGAGTATCCCATTCAGGTACATCTCTGACTGTTATGTTTGTTGCTGGAAAAAAGAAAGGAAACTGTACAGTAGGGATTCCCAAAACCGATTATTTATGAATTATGTGATTATAATTGAATAGTGTTTGTCTCACATGAGAGAAACTCATGCACTTTATGAAAACAATGATCGAGTAGGTAAGTTTTCAAAGTGAACTTATATAGTACCGGTATTTCTTTAACATATCGTGGCAGATGATTTAGCTTTCGAAGTCCTACATTGTTAAAGTTGTTCTTGCATAGAGTTGTATTACATGGGATGATGTGCAAGTCGTCTTTTTTCCTTGTGTTGTATGAGTGTAATCCTGAGTTGGTTTCTGAAATCATTTGAATTGGATTTTATGTATATTAGAGTTTCGTTTATGTACAAAGATGGTAGAGGTAACATATGCATTGATTTGAAAATTTGTTTACAACTAGTTGTTTTTGGGACCTGGGTCATAGCTCTTATAGCTCTCTTCTGTAATTTAAAGATCAATTTTGCATTTACCGAGTTGCCCCAAATTATCAGTCCATATGATAACAAAGATTGCCAAAACAAACTTTACATAAGTTGTTTGCTAGCTTTTGCATATGCTTAGTCCATCTTAGATGTTTATCTAGCCAGGCTCCCAGAAATTTTGAGTGATCTGTGTACTTGATAAGAGTGTCATAAATCTTTATTGGAGGGCATTCAAGTTGTAGTTTTTGAGGATGATGAAACGCTATTGCTATTGTTTTCGCCTTATTATTAGTTGATCGATTCCTCTCAAATCACTCTGTGATTTTGTTTATTGTTTCATTCATTTTCCTTTGAATTTCATTAGCGTTATTTCCTGCTATAAATGCTAGTATTATCGGCAAAGACCATTCTGTCTCATTCATTCCACTTTTGAGAAATTTGATTTGAACAGTGTGTAAACTAGGTGTTATGGTGGACTTACAGGGACCAAATAAAATCTGCAGTAAAACGTTTAGTCTAGATTTCCCATGCAAAATATCATCAGATTTCATTAAGTGGTTTAGGGGATGAGATGTGAATGAATTGGCATGGCTTCCTGTTAATCATCTACTGTATGCACTGAGTGCAAAGAATGTATGAAATAATGAAATGGAACAGTATATATTGTCTTCTGTAGCTGAAACTCAGAGCCTAGACATAAGGAACCTCCACTGACACTTCACAAGTTCTTAGTATGTCACTTAGATGAGTAATAAAGGAAATAAGTTCCGCTGCTCCCACACATCACGCATTTCCTTGACCTTCTGAAATGCATAACAGAGTTCTACCTGCAACNCCTGAAACTCAGAGCCTAGACATAAGGAACCTCCATTGACACTCCACAAGTTCTTAGTATGTCACTTAGATGAGTAATAAAGGAAATACTGTAAGATAAACAAGTTCCGCTGCTCCCACACATCACACATTTCCTTGACCTTCTGAAATGCATAACAGAGTTCTACCTGCAACAAACTAGCTATGCTTATTGCTATATAGGTTTTGCACTTTGATTACGTCAAATGATTTGATCAGAAGGCATGGACACTAACAATAAGGAAACTATTTACAAGAACAAAATTATTTAAGTTCATTCTGCAGAACAGCTTCTGTACCAGTAGCTGCACTGTTAATACCTGGAAAATCAAATCTTAAAAATATGACAGGTTTGTTAATTATTCTTCTCTATATATTAAACTGTGTAGGTAGCTATTAACTTGATCATTACTGTCCTATAGATATGATGTACACAACTTATCTTTTAATCTTTATTGTTTTGCATTTTCCTTATTTAATGGTAATTTTACATTCAAGCAAATACACAAACTTGTAGATTCAGGGACTTCCTTGACCAGTAGACATTTATTCAGCTAATTAAGAGGATATCTTCTGGTATGGAACCAAACAGTTCATCAGCATTATGAAAGGAGTCAACTGCTGGACTCTGCTGATCAACTTTGCTTACATATTCAGAACTCGTTTTCTAAGATCCCTTTCAACATTCTCACACTCATTCCTGACAAGCAGAATTGTGTATGCATATATTGTTTCCCCATATACAAATTCTTCCTTCTTGTTGACCAGAGAAGAATGCAAATTACATAATTTATCTGTCACATTTCTTTTCTCAGATCTCTGAGAACAATGATTATATGGAGCATTGTTTTGCAGGTCATACCTGGATAGCAATCTTGTGTTCTTCCTGACAAAGAGCTACTGGCCTCAGTATCATTATTTGCTACCCTGGGACTATCAGACAGGAGAGTATGGAAACTATGGAAAAGGCTGTACAACTACATTCATCCGTGTCTGGGCAGCGATAGGCTGGGCCACAGATCTGCGCACTGTGGATGTCTCATCTATAAGAAATGCCCTCCTTACTGCAGTGCAAACAAAGAGGCCAGTGGCAGAATGTTTATTTGAAGCAGACAATTATTCCAAGCAATACAATGAAAAAGAGCAGTATTTAAACCTGCCTAAGTCTTTGTAGGAAAGAGAATTAGACTACAAATCTTATTACAGAATACTTAACATTCCCAACATTTTGTATACAGTAAACTCTCCATCACGCAGTATCCAGCGATCTGGGATTCTCATACAACAAGCAAAAATTTAACAGAAAATTTACCATTCTTATTAAGAAAACTAAAGAATAGCCTCTATGTGTATATGTTCATCCACCATGTGGTAATTCTCCTAGTCACCATTAGTGATGTTGCTGATTGTCCTACCTCAAAGAGTTGCCATTACAGTGGAGACTTGTTGAATTTGTGGTCATGTTACAGTACATCTGGAATATTGCATCCATTAGCATGGAGTGAACTTTCATTCTGTCATTTATTCCACTGTATGCTCAATACTGTACAGGTTTGTTTACTACTCTGTATTGTACTGCCAGGATAGCTCAGCCAGTATAGCAATGGACTATAGCTTGAACAGTTGGGGTTCAATTCCTGGCAGGGGTAAGAGATTTTTCTGTACTCCATGGCATCCAGACTGGCTCTGGGGCACACCAAGCCTCCTATCCTATGGGTACTAGGGGATCTTTCCACTAGGGGTGAAGAGACCAGTGTATGAAGCTGACTACTCACCTCCATCTAGTGCCAAGGTCAAGAATGGTGGAGCTATACCTCCACTCCTGAATATATCTTCATGGCATGGTGCTTACTTAAGTAATTAAGCACAATGAAAACTTCGCCTTTTTTTACATTTACTGTGTTGTGTTCCTGTAAGAGTTTTTCTCATGAAACCAGCATACTTCCTTACCCATACATGCTGGATAACTGGGAGTTGAGTGCATATTAGGGTATTCTGTAGTTCTAGAATGACATGAACAAGGTAGGAACATTTTAGACGTGTGATAATAGTAATTAAGAAAGGAATGAAAATTAAACTGCACATCTGACCATGCAACTTAAAGGACAGTATAATCAGATTGGTTTCATGTGTATTGTCAGTGCTAAATAATTCACAGTGATCTATCCAGACACGAACATGATATGTTCCTCCAAAATGCTGGTACCCACCTACCAGACTGCATACTATCTTGACTCAGAAGACCACAGAATGAATCTTCAGTACCATGAAGATCTCATGTCTCATACAGTACCAAGTAACCTTCTGGTACATAATCCTGTAGGCCTTAGCATTTTAGATGTAGGCAAGCAAAAGAAATATATACATACAAACATATGGCATGCATTTATATTTATAATGATTCATGAAAGTTAATGTTAGCACTTAATCCACAATCTTGGCATTAATGTAACAACAGAAATTTTAGTCGTATAGATGTGGAATGTGACTTTTAATATACAGAATAATTAGATCTAAAATTCTGTGACAATGGTATACGAACTGAGAAGGTTCCACCTGAAGACAAAGACAGAATCCAGCCCTTGAAACGTTTTATGTTTTAAATGAAAGCAGGACAGTGAATAAAGTCCAGATACACAATAATTGTATTCAGAAGAACTACCTGTCATTATCAGAACCAAATAGTTCTTGGTAAAAGCATAATAAAGTATCATATTACATTCCCTATGATACAAAAGGAATATGTGTGGAAATGGAAAACTAAATAAAAAGCATTACCTTCAAAGAAATGGGTAGCACTGTGTTGGATTTTCAGCAGACACTGGACTATGGTAAGGCAAGTGAAGCAATAGGCAGTGGATAAAAAATACATTATTTTTATTCTTTATCATTTAATGTATGTAACTACTTCATCTCAAATAAGAAATGTGTATAGAAAAGTAAAGTAAATGTATCCCTATAACAGGCCATGGAGGCCCATAGGGTTGTGAGATGTTCAGGCTCCCACATTTTCTAGACAATCGGCTCATAGATGGCAGTAAGGTTGTCAGCCTTATGCGCTGGCCGCCCTTTACCCCCAAGAACATTCCTGGTACTCATTTCTATTAGAGACTGAGTTGACCCTAGGGTCATAGTGCAGCTGGAAGGATTAGGTAAATTGAAAAAAATCCAATAAACTCATCGGGATTTGATCCTGCGACCTTCCAGCTTGTAGCATAGTTCCTCAACCAACTATCCTATGGCATGCCCCCATATTCCTTATCATAAAGGATGATATCTTAAAGACTTTACCTTGAATATAATGATATTTTGTTTCCAGCCTGCATTTCAGTACCATAAAGACTGTCAGTTAATTATAAACTTGTAAAGTTCAGGATAAAGAAATATATAACTGACTCAGCAGTAAGTCTAGGCTCTCTGGTAATGACCAAAGAATCTTGTCTCCTAACATTGTATACATTAATTCTTTACTATTGTGGATGGTTTTTGGAGTTTCATGTTTCACATACACTTTCAGAGCACAAGCACATATATAAATTAGGGTATTTTTTATTTGTTATTACAAATTTCTATGTATTTGTAAGTATAACTGCCAACACACCTTTCTCTCTTTCTACCCAAAGTATTTCTCTCGGTATATTTGTAATTTTGAATGTAACCTTCTATTCTAAGTAACATGCAAATTACCATGTTGCTCCAGCTGCTTTTATGGAGGCCGCACCAGAAGGCAATCATACTGTCACGTGTTGGTGTATAACGGGACAAATAATTTCATGCTGTATTTGATATAGCAAATTTTATTTCACATTTGCTCTTACAATCACACAGTCTACAATCTCACAATTACTGCTATCTGCCGTATTACAATTACTTGGCCTGCGAAGGCTAGACTACAACTGACTGGTTGACTGCCTGGCTAACTCATAACTTGAGAACTGTAACTCGGGAACTAACTGTGAATAGTCTTTGCTGCTCCTTATTAACCTCGTTCCGGACAACACAGAGAACAGCCACGTAATAGGCACCACTGTTGTCTGGCACCGTGTTGCTAGCAACGCTGTCGGGAGTTGTTTCCTGCTGTGTAGCAACGGTGGCATCCCGTGTTACATCACCGCAGGGAGAGGCGGGGTGTTGTCTGGCTTATTACTGCAGCAACGGCAACGCTCCGAAAGTGTTACGTCACCGCTTACGGGGTGAGGGGTTGTCCTCCATTGCGCAACACGTCACAATACAAACATTTATGATACCAACAGGACACTGGACACTAATAATATCATGACAGGATGTCTAAAATCCATAAAGTTCAGGTTTGATGCTGCAGAAATATTGCAATTACCCATTTACTAGATAACTGAGACACAAATCCCCGGCCAGCCACACCAGTCAAGGTACTTTTATGCACAGTATTGCCTGAGCATTCTGCAACAAGGTGATATGAAGAAGCATGCCAGGTGAGTCAATATTCTTGTCTGAGCCCATTCCTAATTACTCTGTTACATTACCACAACAAGGGATCAGTTTATGAAGATGGAGTGCTGTGGTACCAAGCTAGAGCAGTCAAGTGGCTAAACATAGATGATTGTGAATGCCTGCAAGGATTAGCAGATTAGAGTAATCAGTGTTAAATAAATCCATTTCCAACCCAAATCCTTTGTTTTGCCATCATCACGTGACCACGTGTCAGAAGGGTAATTGCAGAGATGACAGATCATGCAGAGACTGGATGAGTGCCAGGATCAATGTCAACCAAAAAAAATGTGGAGACTGTCCAAAATGAATTGAGAGCCGCCATGAATGCCGGCCAAGAAGGGTTAAGGGCCACTGTAAGTGATGGCAAAGAATATACGTGTATTGAGGCCAGCCATAGACAGCTGAGGGTCGCCATAAGTGTTAGTAAAGAAGAAATGAAGGCCAAAATGAAGGCAAGTAGAGAAGAAATGGAAGCCCTCCCTGTCTTGAAGTAGGCAGTGGTGGAGCTCACTCTCGGGCAGAGGCCCCTGCAGATTTTTGTGTTTGTTGCAGAAATCATCCTGAGGATGGATTTCCTGAATGCTTAGGATGCATCCAATGATCTTGGCTGCTACATGCTACGACTAGGCCAAGAAGTGGTATTGTCATAGAGCCAACAGGAGCAACCACGATCATCCCACTTTATGTTGACTAGTGGCCAAGTAATGCTGACGAAATGTGAGAGGGTGGTGACAGAGAGGCTTGAGAACACCCTGGAGCCTTGCGTGGAGGTCCACCACCTCAACTCTGACCAAGTCATGAAACTGACCAGAGAACAATGACTTTTGGTATGTGTAATACATGTATATCTGTGCATCTAAGACCCCAAAGTTCATGGATTTTAGATTTTCTGTCACCACATAAAATAGCATCACCAATGCTCAAGACCTGTTAGACCTACTGGATCAACAGTTTACTAACGACAACCAAGCCCTTCCACCGAGATCTCATACCAACATACATTTTTATCTTTGTTACCAGTTCTATGACCAGATGGATGGGGTTGCCATGAAGTCACCATAGTCACAGCCAACACCTACATGGAGTACTATGGGGCACAGGTGCTGAACACAGCCACCTTGAAACCCTGTATTTGCCTTAACATATGTAGATAATTTGTCATTTAGAAGAATATCCCCAATAGCTGACAACTTTCTCCACCATCTCAACAGACAATGTTTATGATGGGCCAGACAGTGGGAGATCACTTGCCTGGCCCAGAAATTTGGCATTCTTTCCACATTTACACACAGGGCAAATATCAGCATGGATGAAGCCAGCCTATGAACACAATAGACTGATCTTAGAAGGAAATTCAAGGAGAACTGGTAATCTCCCAGACAAATTCATAGAGCATTCTGCACCAGGGAAAGGACCCATTGAGACAACAACCAGCACTGAGTTCCTATGGTAGTTAGTTAGTTAGTTATTGGAGAGGGTGGGTTTCCCCATGCACTTAGACCTGTATTGGTCCATTGTGCTTCCCTGTATGATTTCTACCAGTCTCTATATCCTACCGGTACTGGTGCTTACCATCAGTCCCGCCCAGCCAGCGAGACCAGCTCTACTAGCTGAGAGGTATCTATAATGCTTCCCCCATCTACCAGAGGTATTAGAGACTGCTGTTGGGCGGGAAATATCCGTAATTTGGCTCAGTGACCTCCTTTGGAGATATGAGGTTCTTTTACGTGCTGTAAAGCTATGACACGGGACCCACGGCTTGAAGTCCCTCTTGGAGGACTTGTTCCCTGAATTTTTCCGCCCTTCGACGACCTCCGCCGGGTATTTCAACCCGCGTACTAAGAGTCATGAGGTGGGAACGTTACCTCTAGACTACGGAGGCCGCTTGAGTTCCTACAGTATGTAGCTTATATACTTACTGTGGTATTGCATAACTTCTTTTATCATCACAGTATATAACCTCACATCCTAAACCTAACCATTTTGACCCTGAAGATGGATTCAGCATTTTCTTCTCAAACACAGGTATTACAGCTCACTTGCACATGCTGCCACCACACAAAAGCACTATCAACATCACCATATGTAGATCTGTTGCTAGGAAACGACCGCAAGACAAACTTACACAACGGCCGTGAATAGGCAACGACCCATAAACAGCAACAGAGGAAAGGTGTTTTCTGTGTGGTCCATGTCAAGATGTTATAAGCAGGACAGTTCATTCAGTTGAGTTGGTTGGTGTGTGAATTAGTCAGTCAGAGAACTGCTGAGGTTCAGTTGTTGTGAGCTATTGCTGTGAGAACCTAGTAGCTGAGGCTGGGGATATTTCAGGAATCCAGAGGAAGGGGAACGTCCACTGATGGAAGCTGCTACAGAGCGACGGGTAGTGAAGACGACTGTGTGCGTAATAGTGAATTGTAAAGTGTAGTCATGCGCTGTATCAAAGAGTCCAATAAATCTGATCATCAATACAAAACCTGTCCATAATCACATTCCATATATGTGACAATACCATCCACACCTTACCAGAGATAATCTAACAGATATGCACCTCCATTCTATGGGTCAGAAACATACTGCTTTTGCATAAGATGATATCCAACTTTACTGCCATCCATAAGCATACTCCTACGGGGAAACTGGAACACGAAAGTGGCTTTTGAAAGCACAGTCATCTACATGATTAACTACATATTTCAACATACAATTTACGCTAACCTTCATGCCTGCAATTTCAACACTGATAATGGTTTAATAATTATTTAAATGTAGAAATTGCTTTACTATGAATTTGATTGCATTCATATTTATAGCAGATTCAATCCAGCAGGTGCTTATTACCATTCAGTTCAGGATATTTTGTCTTCCCATCTACTTACAATGTAGGTAAAAATTAAAGCTGTCCTTCTGCTTAATTAAGTACCATTACATGAAGACATATGGGAAAGTGGAGGTATAACCCTGCACATTCTTAATATTGGCTATAAATTGAGATGAATTGTCATGCCCCACTGGGTAGGAGGCAGCGTAAGCCCCAGAGCTATTTTGAATCCAATGGTGAAGAGAAAAATCACTGCCTTCACCAGCAATCAAACCCAAATTCTCCAGTTGCCCAGCCCACAACTTGGTTGCTATATTGAATGAGCCATGCCAATACAAAGTTGTAATTTTGCCTGCTGTTTTATATAGATGTGAAACTTATCTCTCACAATAAGTGATATAGATTGAGGGTACTCAAGAAGAGGATGCTGATGAGAACATCTGGACCTAAGAAAGATGAAGAAAATTACATAATGGGTTCATAATTTGTACACTTCATAAAATACTAGAGTGATCACACCAAGGAGCATAAGATGCTGTGGTGTTGTGGTACACCCCATCACTAGTATGTATAGTATGTGCAGTTAATTACAAGGATCAGAACACTAGCAAGCTGTTCCAAGACTTAGTCATTGAAAAGTTGATTATAGGCATAAAATAGAATGCACTGCACCCAAACAACACAAATAATACTGAGCACGAACCTGGGCATACAAATAACAAACAAAATAAGAAGAAGAAAAAGGAAGAAAGCTCACTTTAACCTACCTGTCAGTAAGGCTTTAGTTATCCTTCCAGTAGATCTACCACAGGCCCATTCACTCAAAATTCTGAAACAGACCACTTCTCCCCAGAGATGTACAACAAACTCAACATTCAATTATAATTACAAGAAATACTGGACTCAATATATCATAACATACCCTTGCAAATTTTTCTGTATATTTTCGAGTTTATTTATTTATTTCGTCTCTATAGATCATTGTTATGTGATATAGGACAAGTCAGTTACTGTACATTGGCTGATTACAATAAGGGAATAAAGTTACAATACTTACAATTGTTTACAATAGTTAACAATAGTTAAGATTTCATATAGTGTGAGATGGAATCCATATTAGGTCCCCTCAGCACGTCGGCTTCCATATGTCCTATTGTACCTGTACTGGTGATAATGCTTATGGAAAATTTGATGGAATGAGTTTGTTAGACCTGCTGTAGTACAGGTATTCCAAGCAAGATGCAACCTTCAGTATATTTTAAAATGCAAAACCTATTGTATTTAGATGGTCAGAAAATGTCAGAAAAATGAATTTGGGCACATAAATTCTTAATAGATACTGAACAATAGGGTTATAAAGGTGAAGCCCTGTGGCACTTATGAGAGCATTGGAAACATGAACATAACTTTTCTAGACTGCAAATAAAGGAATATCTGGTTAATACATTCGGAAATTGTAATATAATGTTGTGACAGACCAAAACTATTTAGTTAATGCAAAAGAAGAGCATAAGGGACTTTCATTAAACGGATGGCTGAGGTAAAAATAAATGGAATCAGTCTGCCCTGTGAACTAACAGAGTTTTGAGCATGTAGTTAGATTGGTTATGGTAGATTTTGTTTTAATGAAACCATGCTGAGATGGATATACAATAGTTTAAATTTAAACTAAAAGGAAAGATGATCAAGCATTATAATTTCAGGTATTCTGGAAAACTTATTTCAAATTTTAACAGGTCTACAATTAATCACTATGGTTACATTTCTTAAAAATAGGCATAGCAGCAGCTTGTTTCCATAATGCAGGAAATTTCTCTTTTAAAAACATATTAAAAAGGAGATTTAAAGTTGGGGTAAAGATCTCTGAGCAACCTTTGATATTAAAACTAATGATTTCATCTGGGCTTATGCACTTTGATGAACTGACATGTTTAACTACGTGCTTAATCACAGAGTCAGAAATGGGAGGAACATTAATGATGATGGTTATGATACAGGTAATTTTTCAAAGATGGTGAGGCAATGCAAATGAATATGTAATTTGGCATGCAGGAATTGGCAGAGGCCCTGAAAATCAGTTGGAACATCCTTACAGAAGAAATGACACCTCGGTGTGAAACTTCACATGTCATTACACCAATACACCTTTCTATATGTAAAAACTGAAAATTAAATTTTGGATATATGAACATCTGCTTGCAAGCAGAAAAACATATTTTGTCCGTGTCTGTCTTCCTCAAATCAATGAACTTTTGTGAAACTTGGCAAGTCATTAGAACATATCCACAGAATGTTTCACTTTCCTGCCAACACCAACAAGCAAGCCATCACACTGCCAAATTTGGGGTGAGAATAGTACCACATACAGTAGTGTCTCCAAACACTGCCTGATATTAGCACTTAAAAAAAATGCAAAAACCTGTTAATGTAATTTTTGTAGAATGTAAAACTGCCACCACACAAATCCATATTTACATTTGATTCTGAAGATTGTAACGATGATCTGTTTGACCTAGAAATGCAAAATGCTGTGTGTGGGTACATCATAAACACAATCACAAATGGTGAACAAAATATTAATTTGTTTTATATTAACAATTAAGCTGGGATAGCTCAGTCAGTATAGCAACGGGTTATGGTCTTGGATTTATTCCTGGCAGTGATATAGATTTTTCTCTTCTTCAGTGTCCAAACTGGCTCCAAGGTCCATCCAGCATTCTGCCTAGTGGGTACCAGGGGTTCTTTCTCTGGGACTAAAGCACTTGCAGTGTAAAGCTGACCACTCACCTCTGTATAGTGCAGAGGTCAAGAATGGTGCTCACCTTCACTCTCCCATATGTCCATTATGGCATGGTACTAATTAGGCACAGAGACAACTTTAATGTACCTTATTACAAATAGATTGTGCAAAACTATGTGTTTATATCTAACAATTTAACATAGTGGTTTCTTGTACAAGTGACCTTATTCATAGAAAAGCATCGCTAAATTGAACCATTATCACATATAGACTGTTAAACTGCTACCAAATATAACTTTTGTGTTAGTTAAAACTTTACAAAATGTAACAAAATATATTTGATATTACCTCACTAAAATACAATGTAAAATTTGTATAGTTATTCATCTATAGCTCTTGCTAACATTACCATGTGGGTTGAAACATTCAACAGGAAGTATCGAAAGCCCTTCCCATAACTTCCTCTTGACACTATGTCTCTCTGCGAAACTTTTAAAATAAAATTTGTATCTTGTATATACTATCAGTGACGATAACAATTTATTAATACAAAATTAACGAAACTTTGAGAAACATCAATGCCCATCTTTTGTCCTGTCTGGAGGAATGCAGAATTTTTTGACTCAGTTCACTGAAAGTTCAGGTGCTCAGTCACAATTATGAGCAAACATTAATACAACAAAATTAGTTATACAAACACCATTTATTTGTGAGATACATACTTTCCACTATTACAATTTTGAGTACAGTCTGCTAAAAATTGGTGAAACTAAACTACATATTTTCGCTCGATGGAACACTCTTACATCTGTTCCATCCGTTCTCTCCTTCGTCTGGTTTTAACCTGTGTCCATTCTGGATCATGTTCTTCTGCTGTGACGTTACTACTATGTCCATTTGAGATTGTGTCCACAGGGTCCATTGCTTCTTCTTGAGTGCTAACCAGATGATGTTTACATAGCCATACATCGCATTTCGGAAGTCTGCTCAATTCTAAATTGACTAGATGTTGATTTCCTGACTTACAGTGTTGATAGAACTGCCACAACACAACTGCTACCTCCTCTGGAGAGTTGTCTTCGCATATAGTTTGGAACTGTGTGTCCATAAACTCTACTAGAAAATCAGCAATTTCTTCTACTTCAATATCAGTTTTACAAAATAAATCCGTAACCTGGTTCACCAAATTCAGCGCATTTTCTTTTCCTAGAGGTCCACCCATGCCATGCTCTACGGCAAGCCTTAGAGCAGTCCAAGTATTGAACACAGTTTCCACTACATATCGAAACAATTCTGGATTACACGCCATTCCTCACACGGCAAATAATAAACACTAATTAACCGTGGGTTGCAAATTCTTACAAAAAGTACTTGCATACGAAAACAATAATGGCAATATATGTATCATATAACAGTTTCCTACTGCGCCTTTCCAAATCGCAACCAGGGAGAGACAGACTTCGTGCACACAGGTCCCCCTTCACCCCCAACCCGTGCCCATAATAATAGTGCTGAAAGGTACGGAAGCTGGCATTAAGCATCGCAGGTAACATTCACACCATGGGTTGATACCCTGTTGTTTTCCGTGCCTTCCGTCCTAGTACACGGTATCTGTGTTCAGAGCGGGTCCACAGCAAGCATAGACAAGAGACAAGAGCGATAAAAACACCTCTACAGTGATACCACACGGAATCGGGATACAGAACCAAGCATTTTACAGCACTGCAAAAGAGAAAATTTCATGATTGTATTGTACGTATTTTAGTTTCGTGTCTGTGACGATCGCAGGCACAGATGTGTTAACGTAGCAGTGAAGAACGACGGAATTAGAGTAGCCCAGAACTTAAGAATGTCTCCCGAAATCCTACAAGAATAACATTGTATTAAAATGTGCTGGACTGTTGTCTTGTGAGCTGTGACTCCATGTAGTCTGGTAATATTGGCTATTAATGGCATAACATCATATTGAGACCGATATTTCATAATCTGCGTGAAAACCTAAATCTCCGAAATACGTACATTATCATGTCTTTGAAATCGAGAACTGAATTATAGACATACCAATTTATCCTCACAAATTTCCCAGTTCTTTCTTTCATACAAATTATCTGAGGC